CGAAGAAGCGGAAAAGCAAATTGTACAACCAGGCGCGGGCAATGAGGCTCCGCGCGGAGCGGTCGCAGCCGCGGAAGCTCGCCTACAGGAACGTCATCTCGAAGAAGGGCGGCGTTGTGCGGCGCAGGTTCCGCTCCGGCGGCTACAACAGCAGCGGGAGGTTCGGGAAGGCGAAGGGGGCGAAGGGGAATGCCAGGCGGCCGAAGTGAGGGGCGCACACGGCCCGCATCCGGGCGCATTGCAGGTAAACCAGGAGTCCGCGATTAATTCCTCCACCCTCTGCAACCCGGGCGGGCGGCTCGTGCACGCCTCGCGCGAAATAAGTGCCGTGGGCGCTGGACGCGTGACTACTGTTGCTGCCTCTGCCTATTTCCCTGCGACGCTGCCTCCCGCTTTGTTTTTGTTTTTTTTCTTCTCTCTCTCTCTCTCTCTCTCTCTATCTATCTTCCTCGCCGCCTGTTTGCGGTTCTGCCCGGCAGAACTGCTCACTGGGAAGAAGTGTGCGTGAGACACGGGGGCAACGCATATAGCGTGATAATGATGCGTCGCTCGTTCCTCCGCCTGTTTACGTTGACAGAGAGTAGGACGATGTTTCTGGACGCGAGGGAAATGCCACTGCCATGCCCCACCGCGACACTCCCAGAGACACTCCAAGTGTTAGCGGAGCATCCCTGTGGTGGGGCGGCGCTGGTGCACGCCGCGTTGGCTCGGCTGCTGGCACTGGACGCCACAGATGCAGACTCCGAGGCGATTGCCTTGTTTCAACTGCCAGCGACAGGTCCAACTACTGTTCCTACTGCCGCTGGAAGTGGCAACGCTGCAGCTGATTGTAGTGCTGAACTTCCACCATCGCCATCGTCATCGTTATCGTCGGCGCCCCACTTGACGCTGCGGCTTATGGCTGCGCATGCCAACGACGCGGTTGTACGTGAGCGCTGTTGCCGTTGCATTGCCAACATGTGCCAGCTCTCCCACTTTTCCTTGGCGCGTCCTGCTGTGGAAGCGTCCGGCGTTGACTCCGACAACAGTAGTGCGGGGAGTGAGAATAGTTTCGCCGACGCACTGGTGGAGCAGGGCGCGGTGGAGTTGGTTCTGGGCACACTCGCAATGTCCTCTCGGTTGAGCGCAAAAGGACTTGCGTGGGCCTCATTGGCGGTGCTTAATCTTGTCTGCCTCTCCCGCGACGGCGCACGGCGCGCAGCGAGGGCAAAGGGCGAGTCTGTGCTAGCAGACGTTATTACAGGCATAACGCACGAGTCCCTCGCCGCGGGGTCGCCCAGCAGTGTGCAATGTTCCGCCTTGGACGCGATGCTGGGGGTGCTTGCGCGCCTCTTCACCACCGAGGCGGACGACAACGCGGCTGGGGTTCGCTACCGCTGTGAGCAGGCGGCGTACGGGACGGTGGAGGCGGTGGGGGCGGCGCTCGCGTGGCTCTCGGAGTCGGCAATACGTGAGGTTCGCGGCTCAGCTGCACTGCGGGGGGTGCGTGACGGGAGCATCGGAGGTCGTCGCGGGGGGACGGTGTTTTTCCCCACCGCAACTCCGTCGCAGCAGGCGGCAGTGTTGATGTTTCTTCCGTCGCTACACAAGGCCTGGATGACGCTTAAGAGCATTAGTGGCTGCAGCCGGAACCTGCCGATGGTGTACGAGGCGCTCCACATGCCAGGGGATGGCGGCGGTCTGCGGGCCGCGATTGACGCCGTGCTGCTCTTTGGCGTGGAGCTTGAAGGCTTGGCCGCCGTTGGCGCCGCCGAAGAAGCCACGCTGCAGCAGAACTTGCTTCTCCACGCGATGGAAACCTTTGCGGATCTTTCGGCGACGCGCAAAGACTTGGGCAACCGCGCCGTGGCGGAAGCCGCCGCTCTGTCTGAGGCCGCGGAAGGAGTCTACTCCCTGCGCGGGGGGGCCGTGGAGGGTGAGGGCGGTGATGCAGAGGGCATTTCTGCGGTATTTCCCACCGAGGCGGCACTGAGTGTGTCGGAAATCTTGGCCGAGGGCGTGGTAAGCAACATTGCGGTGTCGACTGTGGTGCGACTGCACACGGCAGAGGCGGAGGCGGCGGAGTTTCGCGAAGGCGGCAGCCAAACGGCCGCCGTTCACGTGTATGACGGGGCCGTGTTCGATCTGCTTGCCAAGAGTCTGTTGACGCTGGCAAATTTGGCCGGCCACGACATTGCGGTCGCGTCACTGAACACCTTGGCGCCCCTGCACGCCATGCTGCAGGACGCCACCGACTGCCTCGCCGCGATCAGGGCGGCGCACCGCGCCTCGCCCTCGCAGCTCCTCGCCAGTGCCTCCCAGCAGGAGCTGATGGCGGTGGTGCAGCAGTGCGCGCTGGCGGGGCAGGTGTACGCCGCGCTGTGGGGCGTCCTCCGCACACCCGATGGCGCACGTGCCGCGAGCGACCTGCGGCTGCGCGACGCAGTGCGGGGGCTACAGACGGTGCTGGAGGCTGTCTGCGCCGACGCCTTCCCCGATGGGAGGCGGGCGGCCGCCGAGGGCGGCGGCGCGGCAGCCACGCAGGAAGGCTCCGCGGCACAGCAGAGCTCCGCACCGGCGGCAGCAGCAGCGCCGACGATTTCTGCCGCCGCAGAAACCCTGCAAGCGCTCATTCCCCTTGGGCAGAGGGTTCTGCAGTGCCTGCTTCTCACATCTGCTGGGGCGAGCCCGGCGCAGGAGGGGCGCATGCAGCAAACGGGTGTATCCGGCTCCGCCGAGGGCACCGTTAACGCTATTCACACGTAAATGTTGGACCCTCAAACAAATGAAATGATCTTTTTTTTTTCCTTTTCCCATTTGGTTTTCTCGCCTGCTTCTACAGTCCTCATGGCTGCAGCTGCGCCTCCCCCCCGCCCACAGGAAACGTATATATGTGTGTGTATATATATATGTTTATATATATACACACGCAAGCGCGTGTGGTTGGGAAGAGCAAACGGTGGGACAGGGCCCAAACGCTTCCGTTTGGCGAGAAGGAAAGGGGGAGGCGGGAGTGAGAGATCAAAAAAGAAAAAAAAGAACGCAGCAAAACGAAAACGAAAAGAAGAGGTGTTTGCATGGCGTGAGGGGCTATAAGTGGTGAATACTTTTGCGGGTGCCTTCGGTTTCTCGCCTCCCACTCGTTCCCTTACCTTTTTTTCCCGCCTGCATGCGTGGAGGACCCTGCGTGTGGTTGTCTTGAATGCCTTGTCCCCAGCTCCTTTTTTTTTCCCCCCTCCCCCTTTTTTTTACGCACAAAAATTCGCTGGCTGCAAAGAGTGTGCCGCGTGGCACCGGCAGTGAAAGAAGGAAGAAGGAAAAAAAAAAAAAGAACATAAAAAGAGCAATACCAACCGCAAAACCGAATAACACGGCGGAGTCAGTTTAAGGAAGCAGGAGCGAGGTAATCTAGACTTGGAGAGGGGCCAAAGGACAGGCGAGGGCCATACAAGGTGCAGGGTGGCACTGGCGATGCTTCCGTCGTGGGAGGCTGCACTGCATGAGCTTTCCAGCAGCACGTCCGCGACCAATGAGAGTTCCCTTGTCGAAGTTGTCTCCCATTTGTCGTGGAATGAGCTGCCATACATTGTCTTCTCCATTGGCATGGTGTTTGGACCCCACATTGGGTACGTAGTTCAGCTTTATGAAATGAGTTCTACCAGGAACGTGGAGGGGTACTCCCCACTGGTGTCGTTGATTCTTCTAGTCAGTAACGAAATACGCATTGTGTACTTTGCTGGCCACCATTTTGCGTTGGCGCTCCTGTTTCAGGCCATATTTGCCATACTGGTGCACTCACTGCTCATAGTTATGGTGCTGCACCTCACCCATTCCGTCCCTAGCTACCCGGGAAGCGGGGAGCCGAGGAACGAGGGGTTGGAGAATGAAATTGCCACGGCCAGGCCGCCCCCTGCGGACGCGGCGTCGCCGGCGAATAGAGAGGAAACCGTCTTGGCGGAGACTTCCTCCCGCTCCATCCTGGCAAGACTGGATGACCAGGCCTGCCGTCTTGAGCAGGCGTTGCTGGCTTATTCCGCTGCAGCTTTCCTCCTTCGATGCGCCCTATGGACGCTGATCTTGTGCATTGCGGCACTTTTTTACTACGCGGCGGTCGGACCTGTGTGGGATGCGGCGCCGGAGGTCATTGGCTACATTGCGTTGGGCATTGAGGCGCTACTTGTACTTCCACAGATCCTTCACAACGACCGGCGACAGTCAACGCAGGGGCTTACCATGGTGCTGGTGCTCACGTGGTTTCTGGGTGACATAATTAAGCTCATTTACTTCATCTGCGATCACCAGCCGCTCCCGTTCATTCTGTGCGGAGGTTTTCAGTTATCCCTTGACCTCGTGGTCATTTGGCAGGTCATATATTTCCGCTTGCGGCGGAGGCCGCTGCGCGTGGACCCGACCCCAACAAATTATTTGTCCCAGACTGAGGTTGTCGATTCAACGGAATTTCCCCTGGCTGCATGCAATGTATACCGGAAGCCACGATAAAAAGACAGAAGGGCAATGTTGTCCTTTTTGCAAGGCTACGGCTCTCTCCCTCTCTCTCTCTGTGTGTGTGTCTGGGGGTGCTGTGAGCGGCGGAATTGTTGGCATTCTTGCTGAGCTGCGTTTTTTTTCTTTTCCTTTTATTCCCTTCCCCACTCCTCCCATTGCGGCATTTAAGACACGCACAGTGCAATGAGAAAGAGAGGGAGTAACTTAAGTAGAGGGTGGAGTTTCTTTTCTTCCCCTCCCCCCCTTTTGTTGTATTTTTTCTTGTGTTTGTGAGTGTCCGCCCCTTCTCATGCCTTTTCATTTTTTTTTTGGTTTGCTTGCTTCCTGCTTTGCAACGGGATGACGTTTACGAGCTTCTCCTTCCGCTTCCTCTTCGCGCCACCGCCTCGTGTTTCTCTCCAGACGCCTCGCCCTTCATCTGCCGCCCCACGGCGATGACTCACGACGAGCAGCAGCCGCAGTGCACGGGCGCCGCCGGCCCGTGCGGGAGTGCGGGCCACGACACGATGATGGCGCTGCACCGACTGGAAGACGCCGCCGCAACGCTTCACGCGGAGTCCCGCAAATTGCGCCGCGCCATTCTTGCAAAGCAGCGCCTTGCGTCCAAGCTTTTGCTTGGTGACGCAGACGCGGCCGTGGCGGTGGACGGGCTTTGCCCCACTGCGACGGGCCACGCGTGGCCGGCCGCCTCGCATCACGCGGTGGGGGCGCAGCGGCACTGGGCCTTGGCCGCACAGCACCGCAGCCTGGCGGAGGTGCTGCGCCGGAAGGCGGAGTTGGCGGAGTTGTGGGAGCGGCTGGTGGTTCGCGCGTGGTACAAGCGCGTCGTCGTGGCGGGGTTTTACGAGCGGGTCCTGGCGCGGCTGAGCGGCTTCGATCGTCGGCTGCAGCGAGCGGCGTCGGTGCTGCGGCCGGGGCGGCGGTGGCGGGGCGGAACGCCTCCAGCCCTCGCGCCTCTGCGCGCCACGGCGCCGCGACGGCCGCGGGAGCCTGCGGCCGCTGCGGTTGGCCCCGCGTCAACGTTGGCCGGCGTGAGGGCGGCGGCGGGAGAGGCGGTCGACGCAATTGAAGCGTGTGGGACGGGCGGAGGCCGGGCGGCGTGTGTGCGGCGACGGCGTCCGCTGCGGACCATCATCCACCTCTTCACCAGCGTTGTGCGGGACTACGCGGAGCAGCAGAGGACGCATGGCGGCTGCGATGTTTTCAGCAACACCGGCGAGCACCTCGGCGGCGGCGGCGACGGCGCGCCGTGGGTGAACCCGTTGGTCCCCTTCACGTTGGAGCAGCTGGCAGAGGCCATGCACCACATTTTCACAGGCAGCGTGGGCGTGCGGTGGCCGTGCCTTGGCGACCCTCCCAGCGCCGGCACCCCGGCTGAGTCACAGAAGGAAGCGCTGCTTCAAGCCCTCGCTGCCTCCTTCTTGCTGCAGCGTCACATGGAAACGTGGGTGATGTGTCACTTTCAGCCACAAGAGAAACTCTTGCGGTATCGACACTATGCCCAGGCGGTCACGGGCTTTATGCAGGAAAGGTCTCGCGCCACGAGGGACTTGCTAGTCACGCGGCGCCAGCAACAAGAACGCGACGAGGCACGCTGGCAGGGCATGCGTGCGAGGGCTATGGCTGCGCTGCACCCTCTTCCCGCTGACGCCGCCGCCGCCGATGATAGCTTGCACCACACAGAGCACGGCGCCGATGTCCCAATCGACAAGGGTGAGTGCATGCTTTGGCTTGTGGTGGATTCACTGCGCCAACAGAGTAGGGCGGAGTCAGCTGCGTTGGATCCAACGCATAGCTGAAGAAAAAACAAAACAGACAAGGAGTATGGCTGCTTTATAAGCATCTTTCTTCTTCTTCCTCTGTGTGCGTGTATTGATTCGTTGTTGTTGTTGTTTTTTTTCTTTTGTAGGCATCTCCATGCGAGATGTGTTGCCTCTTTCTGTTCCTTGTGCTTTGCCCCACCACACAAGGAAGCGTGGGCGGGTGCGGGGTGCTGTGATGCGGGGTTTTGCGCAGGACCCTCTGACGGGGCGTCGGCGGCCACGCGGAAGGGGGGTGGGGGGAACGTGATTGGCTGAAGGAGAGACACTGCGTGCGCGTGTGGGAACGAGGATGGTGTCATCCAAAGAGACAACGCTGCTCTGTGCATTTGTGTGCCTCTCTCTCTCTCTTCTTCTTTTTTGTTGTTTTGCTCTGGTGCACGGTTTTGATTTTGCCCACCGGGCCGCAGTCCAGCAGCGACGCTGCAATTCGACTACGGCACACGCAGAGAAATTCTTCCCACACACGAACTTGCATTAGCCGGGCGTTGGTGCGTGTGTGTATACACAACAACAACAAGAACAAAAAGACACATAAACAAATACACGCACACACTCACACACACACACACATATCTTCCCCCTCCCCCCCTCCTACACACACACACACACACAAACAGAGAGAGAAGGAGAAGGAGAGAAAGAGACCTGCCTAAGTGCCCAATATATATATATATATATATACATATATATTCACGCGGTTGCGGTTTT